TTCATGGTGTTGAACCTCTCTGATTAGTTGCTTGAATTTTGCACTCTGAGTGTTATCTGTGAGTGGCGAGACTCATGTGCACTGCGATTGGGAGCGGGCGTTGATAATGCAAAACAAGCTCTATTCGAGATAGCTTGAGAATTCTATATGACGTGATTGAGTGTAAGATCTCCTTTTTGGTGGCGAATTGTACTATGTATTGGCTGTTGTCACAGAGAAGAGGATTAGAGGTGCAGAGTGAAAGTCCGGAACAGCTTCGCACAAGTATAATCCTCTGGCAAGCTCACAGCGTGCGCAGCGAGGCATGATTGTGATGCTAAGCGCGCAGCTAGCGGTTCCCCTCTATAGCTCACCTGTCCTTACCCTCTCAGCGAAACAACATTACTACTAAGAATCACCACCTTTCTTAATAGACTGTTCTACTTCGCCAAATTGCAGCTCCTTACGGCCTGTCGGCTCCGTGCAGCAGTATGTTTGAAATTAAGATGATATCTAATCGCATTGCGGATTACTTTCCATATCTCGCTCCAGTGCGAGATAGCTAGTGCCTGTATCGCGGCCTTCTATACTAAGAAGTATAAGGAACAAGAACGAGTGTCGCGTAGAAAGAGATGAGAAGTAAAATTTTGCTAAGTGAAATCGAGTCATGCGACCCTATCTCGACTAGAGATGTGCACATATAAGAATGGATAGGCGTCGACTCGTCATAGTGAGTATATGGAGTAGTGCAACGATGTGCCGGGTGCTATGTTAGTATCATATATAGAGAGACCTCGGCCTCCCAGACCCATGGGAGATGTGGTCCCGTCCCGGAGGAGCAAGGATCAGTCTCCTATCTCAGTTCCTTATTTTCTATAATATGACATTGCCCTTACACTGCGTTCCACATGTCGGTCTCCGAATAATCTGGTGTGTTCTAAACCGGTTTGGCTGGAAGTTGTTATGAGTCTACTACAGAGACGTACCTATCCACTTAAGTAGAGCGCACCCTCGGCTGGTGTTCAACTTCGACGTGTTCTCACACCGAGATGTGTCAGTGAATAGACGTCTCCACGAATTCGTAGAGCGCGTGGAGAGAGCTTCTCGAGCCATCTCTCTAATAAAGCTTGTGTCTGTCTTATGCAGGGCGCTTGACGGGAGCTGACGCATCTCATGGCAGTGTTTTTGAAAGCTCCGTTGCGAGTAGCCGGTCGAGCTCCTGCAAAGACGTGGGGGTCTGAGCGTTGATTTCCGCTAGAGTAGAGTTGAGCAGACGATAAATGCGAAATTAAGCAGTACTGGCACAGGAGCAGCTTAGATGGCAAGTGTGCGACCCCGCGACGAAATATCGCAGGAATAGGTAACTCATACACCATTAGCGCACCGAAATATTAGGACATTGTCACAATAAGAAGAAGCTTCCGGTGAATGACGAGAAACATTTAATCCCCCAAAAAATCTCTAACACTCTATTACCAAACACCACACTATAAATCTCTTTTCCAACCAAACTTCAAAAGTTAAAATCTAAACTAATAATTTCACACCCGTGACTTATTCTTTACATTAGGATAATGGTGACCGCTACCACTTACTTTTGGTGTGGGTGAGGCCCCTTATATTGACCCAGAATGTGTTACATATACGAGCTCCAGTACCAAGATCCGTTGAGAATACAGAAGACCTAACCTTTAGAGAAGTACTTATAAATACTTAAGAACGTGCACTCGCCAAGTGACACCCAGACTCTCTGATGACACACGCTCCGTGCCTAGCGCAGCTGAGCTCACGACTATCTGCGGACCCATCGCCCCGCTAGATGTATGACTCTGACGCCGCCATACCGTGAACACTCGCCCCAGTCGTCACCTGTGTACGTGAGGCGCCTCCCCTTACCCCCTACAACCATATACACCACAAGATAGATATACTTTAGTCTGTGTGATGTGAGAGTATAGATAAGAACCCCCTCCCCCCCATACCACCCCTCCCCCACCCCCCTCCATAGTACTACCCCACCCCCCAACTTTTCACTACCCACTATCCCCTTCCCCCCCATTGTTGTTGTCCCTTGTGTTCTTGAACAGAATAGATCACTAACCTTAATCACCCACCTAACTCATAGAAGAGAGAGATATCCTATCCTTCGCTCTGTCGGGAGCTTGCGTATCCAGTCTGGCGCAGAAATCTTTCCTCAGATAATGCGTCCCTTAAGGCTCTGCGTGTGAGCCCCTGTGGGTGTGGACTGAGATTCCGTATATGAAACGCGGACTCTGCTGAGGGTTGAAACCACTCCGGTCTGCTCCAACGACGTCCTTGCACTAGTGTCAGGTAGGCAGAGCATGAGTCTAGCGCTCCGAATGCCATTGTGTCGTGATACTCTAACGCATATAGAAGTCAGTCGCTGATAGCTAGAGCTAAATCATCTAACACTCTTCGATGGAGACTCTGCTGGCAATTTCGGACTCCTTAAGTCGCGAGTCTGATCAATCGCCGTGCGCTCCAGTTTTAGATGGGGGATCATTATAAGTACTACCAGAGTCAGAAGTAATTCGGACAGTACTCCGCTTCCCCCCCCCGACTCCGCCCTTTTTTTTTTTTTTGTTCGTCTAGGATCGTTTTTGTACTTTAGTGACAGATATGAGTTTAGTGTCATCATGATATCTTATTTGTCTTGTTTTTGTGAGATTTGTTCCACTGAACTATTACTTTAAAGGTGAATTATCACTGAGTCTCCCCTACCGCATTACAATGCCAGAGATTTATTTTATGGTCACTTACTTCTTTTCTTTCCTTAGCTTTCATTGAATCTACAAAAACACACAACCCTACTTCAATGAGACGCCTTGCAGGATAAGTACTACATGTTTGCATGTTCTTTCCATTCGGACCGCTTGACTAACATTCACTCCCCCTTTCTGCCAGCCTATTTCTTCTGTGGAGAGGTACTGCTGTTACCACCTAATACCCACCCCCCATCCCTACCTTTCCTTACATGATTCACCAATGCTTCAACCTGTGAACTTCCACTATCACTAATTTCCATATCCCCCCCTCAACCCACAACTCAAGTCTCTTATTTGACCACCCAATAACAATAAATTACTTTTTCACACCTCACAAACCATTCCACATCTCTCCATAAACCCCCACCACAAATATATCCATAAACCCCCGCATCTTCAAAAAAAAAACACTAACCCCCAACCCCAAAAATTCCCTACACCATAACCCCAACAACAACCCAAACCCCACCCCCCAAATACCTCTGTACTTGCCTTCCCAAACTCCCTCTCCTTTTGGTCTCTTCAATCTCCCGTATACGCTCATGATATAATTTGCTTTCGCCTTCTATGAGGTGTGTCTCTTTACTTAATCGCTCTCGCTTGTCTGTTTGTCTTACCGTCTAGTTCGCTTCTCGCTTTTCGCCCCCTTCTTATTTCATTTATCTATTTTCATTCTTTAGAAGTTCAATTATTCTCTCTTTCTGCTCCTTTTCCCAATTACAACTTGTTTTTGGCCACCGCCCATGTGCAAAAGGACTAGGAAGGTAGAAAACCTCACTCTCAAAAGAAAGAATCAGAAACAGCCCTCTCTCCCACATGAGTTACAAAATCTGATTACAATTCAATGTCAGAAAGCCAATTCAGATGCACTATTCTACAGCTACTGGTGGCTCTTGAAAAAAGCATTAAGGACTCACGAGACATCCATGACTGCAGAATTTAGATCCAAACAGGCAGAATTTAAAAATCAATTGATCCCCACGGAAATGAGGCACATCGCTACCTAGTATAGTTCCTAGTCGACTGAGGGTCAACTGACTAGGGTGGATTCGAATACAGATGAGGGCTATATTTGTTTGGTGGCGTGACCGTTGTTCGGTTTGTCTATCCACCGTTGGCTTACGGCGTGTAACTCACAGAATAGTCAGTAAGTCCCCATCCCCGTATAATTGCAAAATAATAATAAACCAAAAAAATCCCATCAAATTCAAACCCCCCACCACCTCCCCCCACCCTATCCGTACATGTTAAGTTGACCACCTGACGCTGGTACGTGGGGTTTGTAGTACGACGTCGTAAATGACTACATGACCGTGAGCGCACCCTAACACGTGAGTGCTAGTCTGTTACACGTACAGTGACCCATTGTGAAAGGAAGTAGAAGTCGACCAAATAGCCTGGCAGGTACAACGTGAAACACTCACACGTACAGGTTGGGATTAGGTACCGAGTACGTACCACCCTAGAAACGACGTACCAGTCATATACACATAGTAGCACAAACCCAGTCCCCGCCCCCTGCGCTAACTGTGTAAGACCCCCCACCCCAACGAGCAAGCCACCCGCCCACCCGCCCGTCCCCAAGTGCCCACTCCATCAACAGGGACCACAGAACAAAACAACTCCCCCCCCCACCCCCCCCCCACGCCCCCACCCCCCCCCCCCCCCCACCCCCCCACACCCCCCCACTACCCCACCCCCCACACACCCCACCCAACCAACCACCCCCCCCACCCCACCCGTTCCACCCCCCCACACACCCCCCCCCCCTCACCCCCCACCCCCCCCCCCCCCCCCACCCCCGCCCCCAACACCCCTACCCACAACCCCACCACCCTCAACACCACGCACACCCCACCCCCCACACACAACCCACCCCCTCCAACCACCCCACCGCCCACACACCCACCCCCCCCAGCCCCCCACCCCCTCCCCCCCCCCACCCCACCTTACCCCTACCCCGCAACACCCCCCAGAACACAACCCACCCCACCCACCCCCCCCACCCCACCCCACCCCCCCCCCCCCCCACCCACCCCCCACCCCCCCCCCCACCCATCACCGTCCCCCCCACCAAGTGCTCCCCCACCCCCCACCCCCCCCCCACCCCCCACCCCCCCCCCCCCCCCCCCCCACCCCCCCCCCACCCCACCCCCCCCCCACCACCCCACCCCCCCCCCCCCCACCCCCCACCCCCCCCCCCACCCCACCCCCCCCCACCCCCCCCCCCCCCCACCCCCCCACCCCCCACCCCCCACCCCCCCCCCACCCCCCCCCCCCCACCCCCACCCCCCCCCCCCCCCCCCACCCCCCCCCCCCCCCCCCCCACCCCCACCACCCCCCCCCACCCCACCACCCCCCCCCCCCCCCCCACCCCCCCCCCCACCCCCCCCCCCCCCACCCCCCCCCCCCCCCACCCCCCCCCCCACCACCCCCACCCCCCCCCCACCCCCACCCCCCCCCCCCCCCCCCCCCCCCCCACCCCCCCCCCCACCCCCCCACCCCCCCCCACCCCACCCCCCCCACCCCCCCACCCCCCCCACCCCCCCCCCACCCCCCACCCCCCCCCCCCCCCCCACCCCCCCCCCACCCCCCACCACCCCCCCCCCCACCCCCACCCCCCCCACCCACCCCCACCACCCCCCCCACCCCACCCACCCCCACCCCCCCCCCCCCCACCCACCCCCACCCCCACCACCCCCCCCCCCCCCACCCCCACCCACCCCCCCACCCACCCCCCCACCCCCCACCCACCCCCCCCACCCCCCCCCCCCCCCCACCCCACCCCCCACCCACCACCACCCACCCCACCCCCCCCCCCCCCCCACCCCACCCCCCCACCCCCCACCCCCCCACCCCCACCCCCCCCCACCACCCCACCCCCCACCCCCCCCCCCACCCCCACCCCAACCCCCCCCCCCCCCACCCCCCCCCACCCCACCACCCCCCCACCCCACCCCCCCCCCCCCCCCCCCCCCACCCCCACCCCCCCCCCCCCACCCCCCCACCCCCACCCCCCCACCCCCACTCCGTACAACCACCCCACCAACCCCAATAGCCCCCGCCCAAGACCACCACCTCCCCCCCCCCCCCCCACCCCCCCCCCCAACCCCGCCCCCCCCCCCCCCCCCCTCCCCCACACCCCCACCCCACCCCACCACCCCACACACGCCACCCCCCGACCCCCAACACCCCCCCCCCGACCACCGCACCCATCCCCCCCCCCCCCCGCCCGGGCCCCCCGAACTCCCCCCGCCCCCCCCCACCCCCCCACCCCCCCACCCCCCGACCCCCACCCACCCAACCTACCCCCACTCACAACACATAACCCCCCACCCCCACTCGCAGCCCCGCCACAGGCCCCCACCCACACACCCCACTCTAAACAACAAAACACATTCAACAAGCTAGACAATACCCTTCAATCTCACCATGATAACGTCCCAAACCAACTTCAAACCACCACGACCACAGCCACCACCCAGAACACAACCCCGGTCCCCCCCACCGCCCGCCCCCACAAACCGCCGCCTTGGAAGAAAAAAGAGAAAACGAGGCCTTGATTTCGTAGAAGATTAAAAAAAGGAAAAAGAAAGAAACGAGACTTTGAGCGCAGTGGAAAGACGAGTCTTTCCCTTACCCATCCCACCCCCCCACCCACATCCCCCACCACCCACCACAACCCACCACGCCCTCAACCCGCGCCCCCGATGACGCCTGTAACCGTGTCCCACCCCGAAGTCCCCTCCCCCCCCCCCCAAGCACCCCACACCGTGTTTGAAAATGAAAGAAAGATGTTTTTAGGTTCTTACGTGAGGTAGTAGTGCAAGCTGGACATTAGACAGGGGTGAGGTTCCCACCCTGTCGCCAGGCACCCAGACGTTCTCGATCGGTAAGATACTACACCACCACCCCCGTGCACCGCAAGCCTCCAAGCCCCCCCCTTCCACACGCACACCCCTAGTGACCCACCGTCCCCAACCCGTCCCCACCCAACGCCACCACTCATCTCCAACCAGCACCTCCCCTATACCAACAGTACACCCCCCCCCGCCCACCCACCTCGTGACGGCACCCCTCCTTACCCGACACGCTCCCCACCCACCCCCCCCCACGTGTGCTTCGCCCTAGTGCCCACTCCCACCCTACCACCACAAACCCCCCGCCCCCCCACCCCCCCCCCCGCCCCCCCGCCACCCCGCCCCCCCACGCCCCCCCCCCCCTCCATCCTACCACCCCCCCCCCCCGTACCCACCCCCGCGAGCCAACGCCCCCCCCCCGCCCGGTAGCTGCCCACCCCCAAACCGCCCGACACCCCACGCCTCCGAAACACCCCCCAACCAAAATAAAACACCCCACAAAAAATAAAAAACTCAAAAACACAACAACAAAAACACCAAACAAAACAAAACCACCAAAAAAAAAAACACAAACAAAAAACACAAACAACATAAAACACAAAGTAAACCAAAAAAAAAAAAAAAAAAAAGAATAAAACCCCCTCCCAACCCCCCGTTCACGTCGCCGCACCCCCCCCCCCCCCGCCCCCGAGTGTCCCCAGGACCCCCCGCCCCCTTCCCCCCCCCCCCCCGACCCGTTGCCGCGCCGTTCCGAAGTGACATAGATCCCGCCAGCCCCCCCCCACCCCCCCAACCCGCCCCCCCCCCCATCCCCCCCCCCACCACGCCTCGCCGTGACCCACCTCCCCCCCCCCCACCCCCGTTAACGTCCCTGACCCCACCACACCCCCGTCCCCCCGACCCTAACGACACACCCAAGCACCAAAGCAACAGACCAAACACGCCCCCCAGCACCACCACAAAAAACACCCACCCCCCGACACCCACCCAAACTGACCCCCGCCAAAACCACGACCCACCCCCTCCCCAGTGACCGCGCCCAGAGAACCGCCCACCGCCCCCACACCCCCACCCCGCCCCAACCCCCGCCACCCCCCCACCACCACCCCCCCCCCCCCCCACCCCCCCACCACCCACCCCCACCCCCCCCCACCCCGACCCCCCCTCCCACCCGCCTGCCCGACCGCCACGCGCCACCAACCCCACCCCCCGCTCGCAACGTAGACCGACCCGTCCACCCCACCCAACCAACAGCACCCCCTCGAAGACCGTAGACAGCCCCAACTATTCCCCCCGGGGCTACGACCCACAGATCAAAATCCCAAATAAAAGCAACCGAGCAATAAAAACTACCGAAAAGAATCCGTCGCCTCGGACGAACACCCAAAACAAACGCACAAAAACACAACACAGCTAAATCAAACGAAATTACCCCCGAAACCGTGCCACACAACCCAACCAAAGAAAACAACCCCACACCGGAGAGTGATCAAAGAAGAACCGCCCCACAACCACAACAGAACATACTCCCCACCCACTAACCTCACCTGCCGTGACACGCCACCCTCCAATACCAACTGCCCACACCCCCCGCAAAAGGACGACCCACCCCGTGCACCCCCTTCGTGAGTCCACGCGTACACCACCCCACGCCCACCAAACGCCACACCAAAAGAAAGAGTGAGCCACTCAGCACCCACACCCACAGACCAAGCACATAGACCAGCAAACATCCAACACAAGATAGACAACACGCGTCCCCCCAAGGTCCAAAAAACAGACCCACGACACCCCTCACCGAACCCCTCCCCCCGCCCCACAAAAAGAACTAACAAACAGAAACCCCAGTGCCGCGCCCCCACCCGCCACCAACGATCCCCCCCCCCCACCCTTGGCCTACCGTACCCCGCGGGCCTCCCAGCCGCCACTTCCCACGACCACCAAAAAAAAACAGAAACCAGACCCACCCGAGCTCGACGCAACAACAACGCACGCACACACCGCTCCCACCCCCCACTTCACCCTCCCCCTGAGACCCTCCGTGAAGCATAAGCTTGCAAGCAAGCAACCAATTAAAGTCCAGAGACCACAGAACATAGCCAACAAGGGCACTAACAGACAGCTACCACACCCATCATAACTAAGTCTAGCGCGCCCTGCAGCACGGAACATGAACCCCAAGAAACCAAGAATACCAGCAAGATAAAAACACAGAACTCGAAACACACCACGTGCACACGAAGCAAAAGAAAAGAAACCAACCACAAGAAAAAGAAGAAAACAAGAACAAAGACCAAAAGAACTGTACAGACCCATGGGCCGTCACAACACCGAAACGACCACCCCACCACCAACCCCTCCCCCCGCAATCCACCCGTGCTCCCCACAAAGTACAGACCTACCAGTGTGAACCATGCCAAAGAACAAGAACCCGACGCTTGCCGGCCCACCCACACACCAGTGGACACCGCCCACTGTGACGTTGAAGCGTTCTTCCCCAGTGCCCACCTTCACAGCACAAAGCCCCCCCCACCCCCGCGTAAACACCGCCGTCCTACCATGAACACGTAGAGCAGTCGCACCAGCCACCAGTGCCACGCCCCACGTACAAATCCACATCTCACCCCGTCCACGACCAATACACGTGCTCACACCGCCCTAACTCAGTGTACACGACCATACTAGCCACCTCCAACGTCTGATACCACTCCCCAGCCACCGCCCCACCAACAGTGGAAAACACACAACACACAAAGAAGAAAACATAGACATCATACACACACACAAGCGAAAATCGCAGACACCTGAAAAAAAGAGACAACTAAGACACAGCTAGTACCACAAATACAAAATAGACAAAACCACTGAAGAAACCACAAGCAAACCCTAGAAAAAAGATCATGAAACGACCACCAAGGCACCACCATCCACCCCCGACCCACGCGCCACCACGAGATTACTAAATGATGGCCGTCTCTGCCCCACCCTCGCACTCTGAGCGGCCGGAACCCGGTGGACAGAGAAAGAAAAGACAAAAGAAGAAAAGAAACGAAAAAGAAAAGAAAAGAAAAAGAAAGAAAACGAGGTGAGAGCAGGTACGATGTTAATATCGGTGTTGATTTGTTGGAATTTTGGGGTGTAGCTTGTGAAAGAACGAAAAGAAAAGAAGAAGTAAAGAAAAGATAAAGGAAAGAACGAAACGAATCGTCACTGGTACAAGCATATCCACCCCCACTAGAACAGTCCTTACGCGCCCGCCTCGTCACCGTGTCACACATTCCTCCCGGGTTGCATACCACCCCCGAAGCACAGTCACACAGCTCCCCCCAATACCGAGACCAAGAACAGGATACCGATGCTTCCCCACCCAGCCCACCCCAGCTACAAGACACCGAAGTAGAACGAACTCCCCCAAACGTGGAACCACAAAGAACAGACAAACGCGCCAGAACACCACCAGACAAAAAAGATAACCCACCAAGAAAACAAAGACTCGGACCACAAGCGGAACCACCCCCAACAACAAAAAACAAAGCGACGACACCAAAAGAACCACGTATCATTCTCAGACTTGTCACACCAAGACAAAAGATGCAAACCCACACAAACAAAAGTACAACAACATAACAGGAACAAAGTCAAACACCCTACTCCAAACGTACCAAAACCACGAGCCGCCGGGTGGAAAGAAACACGTACTCCACATCTCGGAACGAACCCTCCATGGACCGTAGACGTCACATATACACCGCCCCGCGTAGTCCCACCCCCTCCAACCCACTCCGCGTAAGACAACCAGACTCACTGAGAAACGCAGAACTAAGCCACAAAGACCGACCCCCCCATGCCTACTCCGCAGCAACCCGCCCAGTTACGCTCAAACCACACATCCGCCCACTGACCCTCCCCCCCGTCCCACCCACCCCCCGCTCAGGCCACCCCACTGCACCCCCAGCTCCCCCGCCCCACGCTTCCCTCCCCCGCGCTCCACTCCGCCACCCCAAGTCACCCGCCCCGCGCGACACCACACGTCGCCCCCCCCAGCCCAACCACCCGCCCCACCCCAGCCCATGCCCAACTACGCCCCCACAGCTTTGTGACCCCGTCCCCTCCACAGAGACCCACCACGACCCCCCCCAGTCAGAAGTTGACCCACCCATGCCACACACACAGACACCACACCCCACGCTCATTAACGCCCACCACCCCACTCGCTTGACGCTTTCTTCCCACCCTATCCCCCGCCCAACCCCCCAGCCCCCCCTTCCCCCTGCCACCCCCAACCCCCCCCCCTCACGCAACATGCATTTGACCCCGCCACGATCCAACAGCCCAAACCCCCCCGTCTCCCGCACTCGACCCCCCACCCCCTACTCCCACGTATCTTGCCCCCCCACCTCAACTCCCCACCAGCCACGGACCTCTACGCTCCTGCACGTGGGCACCCGCACGTCCCCCGCCCGCGCCACCCTCTCTCAAGGCAATTTCGCATGTCATACCAGCGCCCAATGCTCCCCCCCCCGAACTCCCTCAACCGACACTAGAATTGCTGATGTCACGACCACACTTCTCGCATCTACATGACGTACTTCGGTCGAGGTATCAATACACCCACGTCCCACCATAATCGACCACACCTCAACCACCTACACACAGACCCCAAAATACCTCGTTGACGTAACCACCGCCTCCCCCCCACTATGTGATCCACCGTGAAGCGGCACCAAGTCAGTTTCCACTCACTACCCAAATAACCAAAAAACCAACCGACAAACAAGCCCAACCGACCAAAGTGCAACAAAGCGCACACCAACCCCCGTCCCACCACCACGGTCTCCACTCCACGCTCAGACCCCCCCCCCTAGTCACATCGTCCCCCTACTAGTAGTGCAACAATTCGACCCACCGTGTCACGCACAAGGCCCCTCGGCACATCAGCCACACGAACCTGACACCACACCCCAACACACCTGCTTACCCCCCCCGCAGACAAACTCCCCAAATTATCCTTACACCCTAAGAGCGACTACTCGTGTACCGACCCACCCCGTACGTCACACCCCAACACCACCACCCACCCCAACCCCCACCACCACCCCCCACCACCCAACACCCGCCAACACCCCACCACCCCCCCCACCCCCCCCCACCCCCCCCAACCCCACCCCACCCCCCCTCACCACCCCACAACCACCCCACACCCTCACCCACCCACACCCCCCACCCCCCCACCCCCCCACCTACCCACCCCCCCCCCCCCCACCCCCCCCCAACCCCCCCCCCACCCCCCCCCCCACCCCCCACCCCCACCCCCACACCACCCCCCCCCCCCACCCCCCCCCCCCCACCCCACCCCCCAAACCCCCACACCCCACCCACACCCCCCACAACACCCACACACCCCAACCCCCCCACCCCCCCCACCCCCACCCCCCCCCCCCCCCCCACCCACCCCACACCCCACCCCCACACCCCAACCCCACCCCCCCTACCCCCCCCCACCCACCCACCCCAACACACCAACCACCCCCCCCCCCCCCCACCCCCCCCCCCCCCCCACCCCCCCCCCCCCCCCCCCCCCCCCCCCCCCACCCCCCACCCCCCACCCCCCCCCCACCCACCCCACCCACCCACCACACCCCCACCCCACCCCCCACCCACCCCCCCCCCCCCCCCACACCCCACCCCACCACCCCCCCCCCCCCCCCCCACCCACCCCCCCCACCACCCCCCACCCCCACCACCCCCCACCACCCCCCACCCCCCCCCCCCCCCCCACCCCCCCACCCCCCCCACCCACCCCCCCCACCCCCCCACCCACCCCCCCCCCACCCCCCCCCCCCACACCCCCCCCCCCCCCCCACACCCCCACCCCCCCCCCCACCCCCCCCACCCCACCCCCCCCCCCCCCCACCCCCACCCCCCCCACCCCCCCCCCCCCCCCCCCCCCCCCCCCCCACACCCCCACCCCCCCCCCACCCCCACCCACACCCCCCCCCCCACCCCCCACCCCCCCCCCCCCACACAACCACCACAACCCACACCCCCAACACCACCCCCCCAACCACCCCCCACCCACAAACACCCCCCCCCACACAACACCACTAAACAAAAACACAACAAACACCAAACCGGAACCCTCCAACGACACAAACACCGAGACCCAAAACCAAAACAACAAAAACCAATTAAACTAGAAAAACACCAAAAGAGAAAAAAAAAAAAAAAAAGATTTATCGGAGGACCAGCGACAGACACCAAAACTAACCCCAAAAACAACAAAAAAAACAAAAACAACACCCCACAACCACCACTAAAAAAAACTCTAAACAAAACCAATCAACCCACCACAAGACGCCGTGACAGACGGCTGCCCCGCGAGCCCCACCTCCAGACATATTTTAAAACCCCCCCGCACGGAACCACAGACACCGGGACGTCACGGAGGACAGCCTCACCTCGCACACCGCCCCGGGATCAGACCAGATGCCACACAGAGACAGACAATTCCTAATAAATTCCAAGACGCTCAGCACAACTTGTCCCCTCGACCTACCCAGAGACCTCCTGCAACCCCCAATTTTAAACTTCCTTTGCTCGGCTGACACCAGACCCGCCTCACGCGGGACGACGACAGCGTCCCAGACCCCCAAACCGTGGCCCCCCCGCAGGCGCCGCCCCGAGCCCCCGCGCACAGACCTAGCCCGCGCCCCACAGACGCAAGCCCAGACCCACCCCCCCCCGGACCCCCCGCGCATAACCGCATCCGCCGACCCCCCGAGGACAGAACACATCTCCGCACCCAAACAACCACCAACAAACCTAACCAACGACTGCCAGACCCCCAAGGGGCTCAAGACGCCCCCGATGCCCGACTCACCAGAGCCACGACCCTGTCCCGGTGACACCCGACACGCGCCGCCCAAATCCACCAAAAAAACCCACTCAAACCACAACTAACCCACCACAAACCCACTTGAACCTACCATCTAACACCAACACCACCACCACCCAAATATCTCTAAGACGCACAACCCGAGGCCGCCGAAGCAAGCCGAGGAGACAACCACCCCCGATCCTGGACCACTCTCATCAATTTCCTCCGCGAGCGATCAGACAATGCCCCCCACCACAGAGACGAGCGGACACGCCGCGAACCCTCTGAAGCTCGCTATAAATACTTGCGCTCCCCGACACACCCCCACCCCCCCCCCCCCCCACCCCCCCCCCCCCCCCCCCCCCCCCCCCCCCCCCCCCCCCCCCCCGCGGGGACCGACCCCCCGGCCCCCCCCGGCCACACCATGGACCAAAAAAATCCGAGCCCGACAGGCCCGCGCGATCACGACTCCAGACAATTTGCTTTTTTAACCCTAGCATCCCTCCCCCAGGACCGCCACAGACCAAATTTCTTTATACCCTCCACCACAAGACGACACCTTGAAAATATGATGATTTAATGATGACTGTAATTCCATTGGAAGACAGACCCTTTAGATGCCTAGACATGGAATCCAATTCCATAGATTGGCATATTAGCAGATCAATTCCAAGGGAAGAAAAATAAAAATAATACAAACTATTATTAAATCTAATCCTGAACTAGAAACTCCGAGATGTGATTGACGAGGAAAACCTTCCCCTGTGGGAATCCACCACCACCCTCATGAAGGACAGTTTTACACGGGAAAAAGAAATAAATGAATAAAAGAAAAATAAAATGACCACAGCCTGCCCTGGAAGGAAGAAAGAGAAAAAAAAAAATCAAAAGAGAGAAAAAAGAAAAAAACTAAAAAAGAAGGAAAAAGAATAGAAACCCCTCTCTGAGTGAGGAAAAGGAGAAAAAAGAGAAAAAAAAAAAAAAGGCTAGTAGGAGAAAGAAAAATAAACGAGTAGAAGAGAAAAAAAACGAACAAAAAAAAAACAAAAGAAAAAAAAAAAAAAGAAAAAGAAAAGGAAGAAAGAAAAGAAAAAAAAGGGGAAACAAGGGGCGGAAAAAAAAGAAAAAAAAAAAAACAAAAAAGGAAAAAAAATCAAACATAAAAGAAGAATAAAGGAAAAATAAAAAAAAAAAATAAAACAGAGAACCAGAGTGAAAAAAAAAGAAAAAAACGGTAAGAACCAAAGAAAAGAAAAAGAAAAAAAGGAGAAAAATAAAAAAAAAAAACAAAAAAAAACAAAAACATAAAGAAAAAGAAGAAAAAGAAAAAATCAAAAAAAAAGAACAGCAAAGAGAAAGGAAGGAAATAGGAAAACGGAAAAAATCCCAGAAAAAACAAAGAAAAGGGAGAAAGAACAAAATAAAAAAAAGAAAAAAAAAAAGAAAAGAAAACGATAAAACAAAAAATACCAAAAAACAAAATGAGGAGAAAAAGACCAAAAACAAGAAAAAGAAAAGAAAAAAAAAAGAAATAAATAAAAGAAAAAATAAAAGAGAAAAAAAGAAAAAACAAAAAAAAAAAAAACCTTTTTATTGTTTAATTGGGGTTTACCGCAGGGTTGCCCCAAAAAATCGCCCAAATATTTTTGCACAAACCACCTGCACCAAAAGGGACGGGACAGCGGGCCAGATTCGCAATGGGAATATCAGATTATGTATTTGAACATATCCCTAGCAGCTGAGACTGATATAAGCTGGAAAAAAGGAAAACTTTCCCATCTGGTAGGGGGAAAACAGGCATTCAGATCCAGGAAAATAGAGAGATCCCCCTAAAATCAATAAAAAGCATTCAACACCTCGACATCTAATAGTGAAGCTTGCAAATTCCAAAGATAAAGAGAAGATCCTTAAAGCAGCAAGAGACAAGAAGTCCCTGACTTTCATGGGGAGGAATATTAGGGTAACAGCAGACCTCTCCACAGAGACCTGGCAGGCCAGAAAGGGCTGGCAGGATATATTCAGGGTCCTAAATGAGAAGAACATGCAACCAAGAATACTTTATCCAGCAAGGCTCTCATTCAGAATGGAAGGAGAGATAAAGAGCTTCCAAGACAGGCAGGAACTAAAAGAATATGTGACCTCCAAACCAGCTCTGCAAGAAATTTTAAGGGGACTCTTAAAATTCACCTTTAAGAAGAAGTTCAGTGGAACAATCCACAAAAACAAGGACTAAATAGATATCATGATGACACTAAACTCATATCTGTCAATAGTAACTCTGAACGTGAACGGGCTTAATGACCCCATCAAAAGGCGCAGGGTTTCAGACTGGATAAAAAAGCAGGACCCATCTATTTGCTGTCTACAAGAGACTCATTTTAGACAGAAGGACACCTACAACCTGAAAATAAAAGGTTGGAGAACCATTTACCATTCAAATGGTTCTCAAAAAAAAGCAGGGGTAGCCATCCTTATATCAGATAAACTAAAATTTACCCCGATGACTGTAGTGAGAGACGAAGAGGGACACTATATCATACTTAAAGGTTCTATCCAGCAAGAGGACTTAACAAGCCTCAATGTATATGCCCCGAATGTGGGAGCTGCCAAATACTTAAAAGAATTATTAACCAAAGTGAAGAAATACTTAGATAATAATACACTTATACTTGGTGACTTCAATCTAGCTCTTTCTACCCTTGACAGGTCTTCTCAGCACAACATCTCCAAAGAAACGAGAGCTTTAAATGATACACTGGACCAGATAGATTTCACAGATATCTACAGAACTTTACATCCAAACTCAACTGAATACACATTCTTCTCAAGTGCACATGGAACTTTCTCCAGAATAGACCACATACTGGGTCACAAATCGGGTCTGAACCGATACCAAAAGATTGGGATCGTCCCCTGCATATTCTCAGACCATAACGCCTTGAAATTAGAACTCAATCACAAGAAGAAGTTTGGAAGGACCTCAAACACGTGGAGGTTAAGGACCATCCTGCTAAAAGATAAAAGGGTCAACCAGGAAATTAAGGAAGAATTAAAAAGATTCATGGAAACTAATGAGAATGAAGATACAACCGTTCAAAATATTTGGGATGCAGCAAAAGCAGTCCTGAGGGGGAAATACATCGCAATACAAGCATCCATTCAAAAACTGGAAAGAACTCAAATACAAAAGCTAACCTTACACATAAAGGAGCTAGAGAAAAAACAGCAAATAGACCCAACGCCCAGCAGAAGAAGAGAGTTAATTAAAATTCGAGCAGAACTCAACGAAATTGAGACCAGAAGAACTGTGGAACAGATCAATAGAACCAGGAGTTGGTTCTTTGAAAGAATTAATAAGATAGATAAACCATTAGCCAACCTTATTAAAAAGAAGAGAGAGAAGACTCAAATTAATAAAATCATGAATGAGAAAGGAGAGATCACTACCAACACCAAGGAAATACAAACGATTTTAAAAACATATTATGAACAGCTCTACGCCAATAAATTAGGCAATCTAGAAGAAATGGACGCATTCCTAGAAAGCCACAAACTACCAAAACTGGAACAGGAAGAAATAGAAAACCTGAACAGGCCAATAACCAGGGAGGAAATTGAAGAAGTCATCAAAGACCTCCCAAGACACAAGAGTCCAGGGCCAGATGGCTTCCCAGGGGAATTCTATCAAACGTTTAAAGAAGAAATCATACCTATTCTACTAAAGCTGTTTGGAAAGATAGAAAGAGATGGAGTACTTCCAAATTCATTCTATGAGGCCAGCATCACCTTAATTCTAAAACCAGACAAAGACCCCACCAAAAAGGAGAATTACAGACCAATATCCCTGATGAACATGGATGCAAAAATTCTCAACAAGATACTATCCAATAGGATCCAACAACACATTAAGAAAATTATTCACCATGACCAAGTAGGATTTATCCCCGGGACACAAGGCTGGTTCAACACTCATAAAACAATCAATGTGATTCATCATATCAGCAAGAGAAAAACCAAGAACCATATGATCCTCTCATTAGATGCAGAGAAAGCATTTGACAAAATACAGCATCCATTCCTGATCAAAACTCTTCAGAGTGTAGGGATAGAGGGAACTTTCCTCGACATCTTAAAAGCCATCTATGAAAACTCACAGCAAATATAATTCTCAATGGGGAAGCACTGGGAGCCTTTCCCCTAAGATCAGGAACAAGACAGGGATGTCCACTCTCACCACTGCTATTCAACATAGTATTGGAAGTCCTAGCCTCAGCAATCAGACAACAAAAAGACATTAAAGGCATTCAAATTGGCAAAGAAGAAGTCAAACTCTCCCTCTTCGCCGATGACATGATACTCTACATAGAAAACCCAAAAGCCTCCACCCCAAGATTGCTAGAACTCATACAGCAATTTGGTAGCGTGGCAGGATACAAAATCAATGCTCAGAAATCAATGGCATTTCTAAACACTAACAATGAGACTGAAGAAAGAGAAATTAAAGAGTCAATCCCATTTACAATTGCACCCAAAAGCATAAGATACCTAGGAATAAACCTAACCAAAGAGGTAAAGGATCTATACCCTAAAAACTATAGAACACTTCTGAAAGAAATTGAGGAAGACACAAAGAGATGGAAAAATATTCCATGCTCATGGATTGGCAGAATTAATATTGTGAAAATGTCAATGTTACCCAGGGCAATTTACACGTTTAATGCAATCCCTATCAAAATACCATGGACTTTCTTCAGAGACTTAGAACAAATTATTTTAAGATTTGTGTGGAATCAGAAAAGACCCCAAATAGCCAGGGGAATTTTAAAAAAGAAAACCATATCTGGGGGCATCACAATGCCAGATTTCAGGTTGTACTACAAAGCTGTGGTCATCAAGACAGTGTGGTACTGGCACAAAAACAGACACATAGATCAATGGAACAGAATAGAGAATCCAGAAGTGGACCCTGAACTTTATGGTCAACTAATATTCGATAAAGGAGGAAAGACGATCCACTGGAAGAAAGAC